GGGGGTGGAGGGGAATATACCCGAGTGCAGGAGATCGAACTCGTCCAAGTGTTAATGGCCCTTTGAGACGCCAAGGTCGGAGATTGATGTCCGGCTATCAACGTGGCACAAACGTAATTACCGAGAGGTTTCATTTAATGGGAGCTCCAGATAAATTGAAAATCATCGGTTTCTGCTTTACTTTTTCACGATTTTTCCTTTTTTCCTGCTGGGCGCTGAATTGAGACAGTGATACTGAAACACGACGAAATAATTTTTTTTTCCAATGTCGAATTGTTTGACTATTGGCTGCGCCGTGCCTGCCAGTAGTCGCAGTCTCGTCTATGCAATGGAGTTGTACGTGCCTGGAGTACAAAATAACTCGAGTAATGAGAAAAATCGGTGGTTTGGCGTCCGGTGAAATCACGCGTTCGCCTCTTTTGTTGGATAATGGAAATTACTTTCCGGAGGTCGAGGGTTGTGGGGCATGTGCACGGAAAGAAATGGTGGAGAAAAATTATCTGCAAATCTTTCGAATTTTGTTGTACGATGAGGAGAATTTTTTTGAGGACATCTTTAGTTGTGTAATTGACAAGCAGACATCGGCGTAATCATAAATTTTGAATAAAGTTCAATTTTGAATAAGTCAATTGTGCGTACTACTCATCAATTTTAATTATTAAATTAATCATCAAATTAATATTGAAATTTCGAAATCCCTTTTATGAAATTTAGAAATATTATCAATCATTTCATTATTTTCGGAATTTTCAATGAAATGAAGACGTACTTCGCAAAATGCTGCACAATCGAGGAGCGACATGTCGTCCAGTAAAAAAAAATAACATCCGTGGATGCAAAAATTGCAGTTTTTTGAACAGTAAAATGTCCCACAGATGCATAATGCGGACGGACGAAAGTGAAAATTTACTGTCCACTGTTTGATGACAATTATCCTTCTCCGTTACAGAAAAATTCCTAGACAATGAGTGCTCATTCACGTGCGTGGGCGCAATTTTTTGCGAAACTCCGGATAAATTTTACAATTTCAGGATCAATTGCCCGGAAGCGGAGAAAAATTCACCATTCGTCTCGCATTTTTTACTCGATAGAGAGTCAAAAAGACTTAGAACTCAATTTCGCTTCACGACTACTTGATTTGTTTGCTTTATTTCCCCAACTTTTTCCTTATGGATTGGATATTGATGGATTTACTCGCGTGTGGAAGTTAGGTAAACGTTGAATAATAAAATTTCGGGGAGGGTTTCCAGTATTTCAGAAGGGTTAACGGTTAGTCGACATGATATCGAGTTCATGAAGAAATACTTTTCGGTTCGGATTGAGGGGGAGTGGATAGACGTGTCAATGCACTTTTAATATTTTGTATGCTGGAGAGCACGCCTGCATACTCGTGTTCACAAGTGTGTATCGGAGAAAAATGTAAAGGAAAATGCACGTGGGTTGGGGGAATGGTCGAGACGGTGAGGGGACATGTTAATTACTGATTAGAAGTTTTGTTTTACTTTCATTTACTTTTGAAAGCTTCTACTGGAGTCAAATGTTTTTATACACGGAGTTGAGCATATACGATAAATTAACGGTCAAATATCACTATAAACCCTGGGATATTGCTGAACAAGAAGAATGAATGTGGATTCATGTAAAAAGCCAAAGTGATAATACAAAAAATTACAGATCTTTCCGATAAAATTCCTGTAAATACGGGATTTTATCGACATTGCCGTGCACATTTTCCTGGAATTTCCTCCCTGGATATAAATCGACATGTTCATTTGAAAAAAATTATGTTTGACGGAAATCAGTCCGCAGAGGATGAAGATCAAGACTTTAAATGGTTAGATTTCACCATTCTACTCTGCCGGGTTTTGAACTCGGAACCTTTCGCACGTGAGGCAACGAACTTGCCCACTGCGCCAAGCCACCGGACAATTTATTTCCTCGTCTGTGAAAATGAATGAAAAAAAAAATCAAGACGCATCAGTTAAGAATGGCGAGTCTTTTAGGAACAAGTGGTGAGTTACACTCGGGATCGAAACTCGTTCGGCCTCGGGGGTAATAAAAATAAAATGAGAGGGAGCGAGAGAGAGAGAGAGAGAGAGAGAGAGAGAGAGAGAGAGAGAGAGAGAGAGAGAGAGAGAGAAAAAGAGAG